GTTTGTTTACACTTCTATAGAGTACAACTGGTGAAAGTTTGATCAAAGTAGTCGATCACGTTCAGAAAAAAACGTCAAATGGAACTCGAAAGAAGAAGTCAGATTCCAAGTGGTCCGGCTCCAAGCTCGCCAAAGTGCTGAAGATGCCGAAAGCAACAGTTCGTCGAGTGCTCAAAATCTACAAGGAAATCCTGAGTGTGAAAAGTAATCAGTGGACCTACGAAAAAACTGGAACCAGAGATCGTCAGCTGCGCAGCAAGGTGTTGAGGTGCGCTAAAGCCAACCCCTGTCTTTCGATCCGAGATGTGGCCAGAAGGTACAACGCAAACTTCCAAACGGTACGGAACATCCTTGCCAGGGAAGGATACAAGTCGTACAAAGCCAGTAAACATCCGAACCGGCACATGAAGCAGAATTCCGTGGCCAAAAAGCGTGCAAGGCTCTTGTACGACCGTGTTTTGACGAAACACAAGGGCTGCACTTTGATCGATGACGAAACATACGTCAAACTCGATTTTAAGCAGCTTCTAGGTCAAAAGTTTTACATCGCGACTGGACGTGGGGATTGCCGCCAAATTCGCGAAGAAGGCCATAATTTTACAAGCGATTTGCAGTTGTGGCCTGAAAACGGAGCCGTTCGTCACATCCTCGACGATGACATCTCAAGTTTGCATCGAAGAATGCCTGAAAAAGCGTGTGTTGTCGTTCATCCGCAAGCATAGGTGCAAAGTCATCTTTTGTCCTGCTGCTACTACTCCAAGGTGATTCTGGAGTGGTATGCTGCCAACTAGATCGATTTTGTCCCCAAGCTAATGAATCCTCCGATTGGCCCGGAATTTCAACCAATCGAAAAATACTTGGCAATTTCAAAGCAGCGACTTCGACGAAACGGCGGTGCAGTCACGGACATTCAGCAAATGCGAGTAAAATGGAAGAAATGCGCTGATTCCGTGTCCGTTTCCACTGTGCAGGCGCTGATGGGCTCCATCAAGAGGAAAGTTCGAGAGTTCGTTCGAATTGGAGAAATGTAAACATCTAATGCTGTAACTTTTAAGTTCTAATAAAAGTACTGTAAAACAACCATTAACAACTTTTTAAACTAATTGAATCACGAATTATAGGTCTTTTCGGCGTAACAGTTCATTTTTGTCAGACTTTAGAAATAGCATTGGAATCAGTGCTTTGTTTGAGGGTGATTCCGAGAAGTCATTGACTTTTAAGTACTAACGTAAGTCAACAAAATTTCAGAGAAGGGGAGAAAATTTATCAAAGAATACTGTGAAAACTTTAAAGAAGTTCCAATTACCTCATAAAACCTATATCTACAGATCATTGGTGAATTTCAGAGATCTTAAGGGCAGTTCACGTAGCTGCTGGAAAGTCCAGACTCTTGGAAAGGTTTAAAAATCTATAAGCGAGAGATAAGATTAATTCAGAACAGCTCCATGTTCTTCCGAAAAAAAAACAAAAGAACCCTTAAGATGTGCGGAGACTTTTAGGAAACTATAGATACCTTCAGAAAACTTATGAAAACATCAAAGAAATTACGAAAACTTCAGAAATATTTCGGAATTTTTACTGAGGTCAGGAAAACTTCCGAAAAGTTTAAAAGTTATTAGGAGAGTTCAATTTATTTCAGTACAGAACCATTATATTTTAGAACTGTGACCTTCAGTGAAGCTTCTCTGACCTGGACTAATCATAAATCCAAAGGGCAGTTCAAATAATTTCAAGGAAATATCAGAAAGCTTATCTTATCTTCAGCAATGCTCCGAGAGAATTTCGTTAACGTAAGGGAAAGTAATGTGAGAGTTTTTTTTATGAATTGTATATGATTATCATGGAAATTAAAAAAATTTAAAATCATTGTTCCATTAATTAAATAAAAGCGAAATTTTCAAGTCTACAAAATGGTGAGTGACAATCTTAAAGGAGCGATGTACCTAGATCCGGTCCTCACAAATTCCTTCGTCATGCCTCCACGAGTCATATGATTACAAAAGACTGCCAGCTGAAACATGAGAACAGCTGGTTGGCGTAGCCTGGGAAATGTTGTCAATCCGACAATAGCAGAGTGAGGAGCTGCGACGCGAATACTGGCGCGGTAACCGGCATTAGAGAAATGCTTCACCAACTCGAGCTGTTCACTGACTGAATAAGAAATGCTCTTCCCCGGAAGCTATACCTAAAATGGCAGCTTCATCACGGTGGATAGGAGACCTTAGGCTAACCACATACTGTCTCTGAAACCTTTATAATTTTTCAAGAAACCACCAGAGACAGAAATCGAACTGATTCAACGGCAACGACTATTGACGTTAGCCCAGCATGGTAAACTGGCTCAACTCGCCAACGAGGCGCGACGCATGAAGCTTGAAATCCTGGGACTGAGTGAAGTTCGTTTGCCAAACTTTGGAGAACACAAACTGCCGTCGGGACAGGTACTACTATACTCCGGTATTCGAGGTGAAAACGCTCTCCGCCATCGTGAAGTTGGTCTCCTACTAAGCGTCCAGGCAAGCACTGCGCTCATCAAGTGGGAGCCTATTAATGAGAGTAAGATTTAGAACACGGGTTCGTAACCTTACCAGAATTCAATGTTATGCGTCAACAGATGCTGCCGAGCTACAGGACAAGGAGAATTTTTACAGTCAACTGAATGCCATGGTGGATGAGGTTCCAAAAGGTGACTTCAATGCAAAGATCGGCTCCGACAATACGGACTATGAGCGCGTCATGGGATGCCATAGTCTCAGCAAAATGAGCGAAAACGGTGAGCTGTTTGCAGAATTTTGTGGCAGTAACGACATTGTGATCGCCAGTGAACAAAGTCACCTGGGTTTCCCGTGTTGGACATACCGAAAGTCATATTTACCACATCTACATAGCATAGCATAGCATAAACCAGGTTGCACAATGTCTTGATGTCCGGAATAAACGCAGCGCCGACATCGCGTCTGACCATAACCTTTTAATCGGCGGCGGTTCAACACACGCTGACTTGAAGATCCAGCGGTAAAAGGTTTTTCGTTGAAGAACTGGAGACTCGAGCTGCGCAGCGTAGAATAACCATGGACGGCCATCAAGAATGCCTTTATAGAAACAAACGAGAACAACCTGGGTGAGCTGCGCACCCAGAGGAAAGAGTGGATTACTGATGAAACCTGGCGGAAGATTGAGGAGCGTAGAGAAGCAAAAGCCGCGATAGAGCTGGCGAAAACCAGAGGAGCCAAGAACGAAACCCGTCAACGGTACTCGGCTCTAGAAAAGGAAGTCAAGCGCTCTTGCAGACGGGACAAGCGAACGTGGGTGAACTGGAGCAGAATTCTGCATAACGGAGCCTTGTCTGACCCAATCCGGGTAGTCGCTGGTGTGAGACAAGGATCTATACTGTCACCGCACTGTTCCTCATCGTAATCGACGAGATCATGGTGTACCGTGTACCGAACCGTGGGCGCTTTGACAGGCTATCTCCATGGAGCATTTCAACGACAGAGTAAGCTCAATGACCTAGCCGAACGCTTCTCTGCGGCGGGTCTCACCATCAACGTCAACAAGACTAAATCGTTGGATGTCAACACCCTTCCAACTTTACGGTAGCGGGGCAAGCAGTGGAGAAGTTCGAAAGTTTCCAATGTCTTGGTAGCCAAATAGCGTCAAATGGCGGTACCAAGAGCGACATAAGTGCATGAATCAAGCAGTCTAGGGCTGTCTTTGCGAGTTTACGAAACGTATGAAGAACAAACGCAGTCAACGCACCAAAATCCGAATTTTCAACTCGAACGTGAAATCTGTGTTGTTATACGCCAGTGAGACGTGTGTATCAGCGGAGAAAATTCAAAAGCTGCAGGTCTTCATCAACCGATGCCTGCGGTATATAATTCGTGCCGGCAGGACATCGCAGCAGGGGCAGACCCAGATGCTCATGGCAGAGGAGCCTCAACAAGGAAATAACGCAAGTCGATAGGAATCTGGCCTGGGCCTAGGTCAAGGAAAAAGCGAGCAGCCACCCAAGATGGAAATCTTTCACGTTGGTTCTTTGCACCACTGGTGATGTACAGGACCCTTAAATAAGAAATCTTCAAGAATTTCCAGATATCTTCACAGAAATTTAGAAACTTTTAGATAGTTTCATGAAATTGAGTGAAGTCCTAAGTACATCGAAGACGATCAATCCCATTATATTAAGTAAATTTTGCAGAGATTTACAAAATGTTCCGTGGAATTATAAGATATTCCTAGAATGAATGATCCGAAAATTTGATAAACGCCAGTGAATTATGAATATTTAGGGAACCTCAAAGAAGCATAGAAAACTTCAGGGATGTTAAAAGATGTTCAGGGAAAATTAGTGATTTAAGGCGAAATTCCATGAGCGTTTATGAAAATTAAAGAAAATTAAAGGCATTTCAACTAACTTCAGTAGAATTTATGGTACTTATGATAGTACTGATAAATTTAGGACTTTATGGAAAATAAAAAAAAACGACAGTTTTAATAACATCAGCAAAGTCTAGACTATTGAAAAAGTTATTAATTAGTTCAATAAACTTCAGCGAAATCTCGAGAACTTCAGTGAAAATATTTGATTTTTTTTTTGCGAGACAGAAGAAGATCTAATGAAGTTTCAAGTGCAAATGCCGCCTTCTGGAAGAGTGAAACATGTAGATCGATATAAGAACTTCGTTTAAAGTCTTAGATCGAAATTAATTATTTAGTTTTCAGTCCAGAAAAATTCAAGGACCTTAAAAAAGATTCAGAAATTTCAGGAAGATAAAGATATTTCAGAAATACATCGAACGCTTCACAGAAGTCCAGAGATCTTCAGAAACACTTTAGCTCGGAAAAGTAGTGCAAATATCTGTTCAATGATGCACATAAATGGAGCGTCACATATCATATAAGTTTAAATTATAAATCATGTAAAGTTCAAATTCCTGCGCCAAACGGAACCCATCAAAACCAATGAAATTGTTCCAGTTTAAAAGCCTCTCACTCACCGTTATTATCTAGCAGCGTGTTTTCCCTCGCCAATGCCGCTTCCGCGTCCGTCAGTGTTGCACTTGAACCATTATCGGACGATGGTGTCGTAATTTGCTGATGAAGCCCACTGCCACTACCGATACCGGAACTTTTCCCCGAACGGTAACTGTAGCTGCTATTGCTCTGTGATCCTCCACCCAGCACTATCGGAAGATTCGTTTGTATTTGCTGCTGTGATAATTGTAGTAGTTGTTGCTGCTGCTGCTGCTGCTGTTGCTGAGATTGCAATTGTGAATTGTAGGGCTGTGCGTAAATCGATCGATGGATCGGAGTGTCCTCGTTGTCCGACGAGTTTAACGAGTATCTTGGATAAAGCCGACTTTTTCCTGAAATTAAAATCAAGCGAGTGAAAAAAGGGGTCAATTGCCTGCAGTTGAACAAATTGGAATCTATTTCAACTCCAATGGTACTCTACGAGATAACGAATCAAATTTGCTTTCAATTAATTCCCAGCTCACCCTCCCCGTCCCTTAGGTCAGCGAAAACAAAATAACATCTGTGCAGGTTGTGAACCGCTTTATAAAACGTTCTAAAACAAGATGCGGAGGCTTTTATGCCGCTGCTTCCCGAATGCAATTTGTATTTAATTTACTTTTATAGCCTAACCGAGAATTCGGCCGTAGTGCTACTTTCGTTGAATTTAAGTGGGAAATTTTCAGCAATCCACTCACAAATAGGTAAAGAGCTGCCTAAAGCGAGTAATCGATTTGGTGAGAGGAAATCCCACGAAGGGAAGTCTCAGAATCGGATTGAATGAAAACCACCACCATCGAAGGGCTGCGTGAAAGTGTGAAAGAGATTTTATCACACATTGTGTCAATCTCTTCGGTTCGCTTTGGCCTTGCTTTAATGGGATAATCTTCGTTTTTAATTAAATATTTATTACCCGATGTTACTGTGGCGGATCATTCACTCTACCTATTTAGTCGTAGTTACTGTTTAAAGGGGGAAATGGATGAAAGTGGCATCCTAATCTGCAAATTGCGGAAGGGTTTTTCGGGACGGTAATGGTTGAAAAGAAATCGCATTTCAAAGGCTTCCTGTCAGTTAATTCCGTTGGACGGAAAGGAGGAACAGCATGGGATTTAAATATATTTTTTCATGTTAGAAAACACCACCATTAGATCAGAATGTTATATTCTTTCTTGAGCATATTAGTGCAATAGCTTTTTCACTATCTAGTCTTATTTATCGATACAATAACCGTTAATTACCTACGTAACATCGGTATTATAGGATCACTGATCAAGTAACAATATCATGACAGGCAGTCCACGATACAGACTTGAATAAAATTTTAACCGAACCATGATACAACTTGGCCTCCCTTAGCTCAGTCGGCATAGGTGCAGCTACGAGGCAAGACCTTGCTGGAGGTGGCAGGGTTTGATTCCTGGTTCAGTCTAGAGATCTTTCCTTTATTTTTCTCTTAACTGATGCTGGATACGGAAGGGTCCACCAGGGTACCCGATGGATGGGGAGAGTGGGAATGCCAACTCCTTGTCTTTAACATTTCATGAATAAAGGGCGGGCTATTCTCCCACTTTTCGGGGCATCCCCCTATTGGATGGCCTGTTTTTGACCGGTTGTATGATCCTACTGTTGGAAGGAGATTCTCATTTATCCCGTGGATGTACGTGGGCGATGTTGCCCACGGATTCACCCAAACCGTTTTTGGCTTTTATACAACGGCAGGTTGAGTACAATTAGAGGTTATTGATCAAGTTGAACAGCGAGGATAGTCCACAGTCTACCGACAGTTGTCTTGCTAAATTGGATTTATGTTATTCAAACTACAGTAAAGAGCCAGATAGTTGGATGATATTAAAATTATTAAAAAATGGCCTTTTTGCATACCGCGTGGGATTTTTTTGTTTTTCATTATATTGACGTGAAATTTTCTCCACATATTGGAAAACCTATCTACTAGATGTATTATGAAAAAAAAAACGATTTGAGCATATGCTAAATGAGTGACTAGGAAATTTTGAGCTGTTAGGTCGGAAAAATTACTACATTATATAGTTGAATAGAGATTACTCCGCAACCAAACAAATTAGGTGTGTTCATGACTCACCATTTTGAAAGGATTTCAATGTAGGGTTGGATGCCAAAAAAGGGTTGGGTGAATCGATAAGCAAAGTACACCTCCACGGTAAAGTAAAGAATCTCCTTCCAGCTGTATTATCATACAATAGGTCAAAAAACAAGCCGTCAAACAAAAGAATGCCCCAATGAGTGTAAAGAAGAGCCCGCCATTTATTCAAGAAATGTTAACAACAGAGAGTTGATAACTTCACTCTCCCCATCCAAGTCGCTTCGTTTGGGTGACATAATGGTCACTCTCAATCCGTAACATAGGTATAAATAATATATAATAAATAATTAAATAATCAGTGTAAAATAATATGGACAGATTTCACAAAATTCTGCTTCGATGGATTCTGTCTCAAGGCATTAAAGTCACCATACATGCTTCTGTTACATCACAATCTTCCATGCACGCATTACTAATTGATCCTGAATTTTCATTAAAACGTCCATTTGGAACATAGTCACTAATTTTCTTTTGTATAGTTGTAGCAATTGACGCAAAAAAATGGTAAAATTCTACAAAGAATGACAAACGCAACACAAAGAAGAAAAAAAAATGAAACAAACCGCGACCGAAGAAAACAAACACGTCCAGCCACGAACATGGCACACTTTGATTTATTATCTTGCTTCAAAATACGTAAGATGCAAGGGGAATCAACTCTGCACACCTCAATCTGTGCCGATAGTTTTCGCTGTGCCAAAAGTTATGCCAAACGCTGTGCCGAAGCGTGTCAATCAAGTATCACATGAATTTGGCAACCCTGGAGATTAAATGACTTTTGTGATTGTTTATTTATGCTTATGCAAGAAAACAAAACAAAGCGTGATAACAGCTGTAGGCAGTGACGTATTTCTATCTGTTCTCAGTATGTTGGCAGTGACATATATCTATCTGTTCGCAGATGTTCAGCAATGTTTACAACATTTTTGCTTCTAACACCAGCAAGCTGCCTGTTGGCCCAGACCTTATATAAATGTCATTGGTAGCACCGGTGTAGTGTAAACAGGAATAAGCGCGAGTCTTTGACAGCTTTACATCATTAGTTTTTAAACAAAGGTGCATCCTATATCAACACCCTAAATTATTTCGGTGTACGGCAGTGTAGCACCGCAAAAACGAAAACGAAATAAATTTCGTATAATTTGAGTGCATCACATGAACTTAAGTTTACTTTAGTTGATTATGATTCAAATTGAAAAGACATAGAGGTTTTGGGCCTACGGGAGAAGAGGTAGTAAAATTATTTTCACTCCCGCGAGTTTTCCTCTCAATAGAAAAAAAAAGATAAAACACAACATATTTCCTTCCTTTTAAGTAGCTACGGGTGTGACAATGATGGCGTTGTTATATTTTCATTTTATTTCAGCAACCTTATCTTCCAGCAAATGATCCGGACAGCAATTTCAAGATTTATAAAAAAAACTACATATGCCAGCAACACTAACTGGGTGTATCCTATGGCTTACCTTCCCTACTAACATAATTCCTAAATTCCCGAGACATTTATGAGGGGTCGTAGAGTTCTCTGCATCTCTCTTAAGTAAATGTTGGACTAACATACCTTTCCTATCCCTACCAGTTGTAAGGACGTGGCCAGGACAATCCTTAACTGTTGGAGCGGGATATGTTTTTATCTGGGAGATAGTAATTACTTCCTACTTACTATCTGTCCAGTAATAGATATCCGCCTTGCTCTTAATAGTTTTGAATTCGTACCACCTACGATATTGTGCAACTTGTTCGATGCTAATGCTAATGCTAATGCTAATGCTAATGCTAATGCTAATGCTAATGCAAGAAAACAAAGCGTGATAAAAATAAATTTATGTATGCAACCTAAAATCACTGCTGCTGCACGGAAATTTCACCAGAATAAGCAAACCAAACCAAATCTGTTCCAAGAAGACTGATTGTAGCCCTGGTGCATGCCGGTTCATTAGTTATATTCCGTCAGATGGATTCCGAGAACCTGGATGTGGTTCTTCATCCGTGGCGTTGACTATAGAACAGTACAACAACGATAACAACTGTGAGGTGGAGGTGGAACTGTTCAATTGGCTGCAACCGGAGGACGGCTACATGAAGATTAACGAAGGTTTTGAGAAAAAAAAAATAGTTTATAGATTTCCTCGAGGTGAACAACTTCGAAGTGTCGAATGTGATTCTGTTGTAAGACAAAGGGAAGGTTCAGAGGGGTTAAGGATCGGGCTTAGGTTGTTGAAATGTATTCAGGTATACCTTGATGTAACGTAACTGTCAATAATGACTTCCTTCGCTGGTTTCTAGCTTACAACGATTAAATCAAGCAATGTAATAACACCATCGAAGATATGAGACAATCCTCCATTTATTGTTTATTCCAATTTGAATAAGTGAACTGTTATTTGTGATATTTCGACGATGGAAGTCAAAAGTAACAGTAACTTTATATTGAGGTATACCTGTATTGTTAGACGAATAAAACATAAAACAAATGTTTAAAGAGAGCCTACTTAATTTATCGAAGATTGCACAATAGGGTATCATAAAGAGGATGAACTACCGGTCGCTATGAAGATCGCTCATCCTAGGAGGATGATTTGTATGACGCTAGATATTCGGCCTGTGGAATTGACCCATGTAAATCGTGATTTCCGATATTGTCGCTACCGGAAACGAGAAGCAATTGTAGCAATCACGTTGGTTGCAAAAGTGGATGACCCTGAGGGTGATCTAGTTATTGCTGTTGCTGGTTATGATATCAGCGCTGCTATTTATCACTACACTTTAAAAACTCATGCAGGCAATTAGACGGAGTACGGGATACGATCGTCTAGTCCGAAGGATTTATTAAATTCATCCTAAAGCGAAGATCAGCCAGTGTCAACAAAGTGCGAAACTTTAGCAACTATTGAAAGAAAAAAACATTGATGCCGTTTTATATTATATTCTGTGTCATTATGTCAATTTGTTGCCTAGCATGCCGAGCAGTGTGCCGTGTTGTGTTTCGGTACAGTGTGCAAAGATGATTACCCCTTAGTAAGATGCATAAAATTTAAAATGCTTCGCGAGCCGCATAAATCCGTCACACGGGTCACATGCGGAGAATACTGATATAGAGCTATTGATCTTTAAATTAGTCGTATATCAGCGTTATAACACGTGCACATTACTATATAAAAATCCATGCTTCAAGTTTTTACTGGAAATAATGTTTAATACGTTTGAAATGCTCTTCCAGATACTTAC